AAATATATAAGGAACGCTGCGCGCGTGTCTATTCAAAGTGCATTTCAGTGTCGCCGGTCGATACCGAAGTAATTGACCGTCACGTTTTTTTCTTCTCGCTTGGCTTATCGGCGATTTGTCCATAATGCGTAATCAACAACCGTTTTTCTCTTGTGGGCAGGCTTCCGCTTTATTCTTCTTTCCTCTATATCCCATATCGTCGATGCGTACTAACTCGCGCCGTGCGCACTTACGCGCAACCAATTGCTCCTTCATTTTCCGAGGTTAATGCATATTTGTTGTACGCACGATTTAATCTTTGACTACCTTTCCGATACGTTAGAGTGAACCGCGATATGATCATCGGCAGTGAAAAAGAGGTAATTATGACGATAATTTATATGTAAGACACAGAAATTTACACGTTTTGAATGAACCTTGTGGTAAAAAATGCAAGTGCATGTAAATAAATTTACATTTAAGAGCCAACTCCCTCGACGTCACTTACCTTCGTCTGTATGTGCTCTCTCCATGGGGATCATTCCATCGGAACGGTGATACGAGGGGAGAAAGCGGGTAAGGGAGTAATCGGCGTCGGTGGAATCGATCCTAAATCATCCTTGATCTTACTACCCTGTGTTTCAGCCTGCTGCGCCAATGGCAGCGTTCAATTTCCGCTCCACCTGTACCCTGTTTTTTTTTTGTTGTATACATGTTCCGAGATAACCTGATGCTGCGTGTTGCAGACAGAGCAGCGCGCGAGCAACCGCTCGCAATATCAACGGATCAGAACAGAACAGGCATGCACTTGACGGTTTTACGACCGTACATTGCTCTTGAAGGGCCAAACTTCAAAAAATGTACTGCTGCAGCAAAAAGTTAGACCACAATTAAAAAATACGTAATAAAATCAAATTATAAAGAAATAAGAGTAGAACAATGGAAAATTTATGAAATTTATTTCAGATTAAGATAAAATTATACCGATTTTATAAATAAACTAGAGCGAGTGAGAAGTATCAGAAACTTGTAAAGTTAATTTAAAAAGATACGCTTTTTATTCATTGTGTTATTTGATAAACGGGATAAATATTTATCCCATTTAAATTTGTGAAGTTAATTTATATATAAGTCAAGATTTATTAAATCAAGTTAGACTTCAAATTTACTGCTTTCGAAAGCTATTTTTGTATGATATACATTTTTTTTCATAAAACAATTTTTTGTTGTTTTACTTTATATACAAGTGAAAATTTGTGTTTCGTTTCACGTGAAAATCTTTCTAAACGATATTTTTCCTCACGGGTAGCCTCCTCCTACATCGCCTTCACGATATACACCATGGCCGACGTACGCCGATTTAAAATGTTGATAGCGCCCATTATAGTTAAATAACTGCTGACCGGGAGTAGTGCTTGTTGGCTCTGACCGTGGATAAAATAAAGCGATGTGCAGCGGCCACGCTCTACAAATCAGTGGAGAAAATACTCCCGCTTAGCGCGATGCTGCAGCATGTATATTTTAAAATATGGCGATCCGTCGTTAGTATGAAAAATGTACAGAGCTAAAAAAATGGAAAATAATACTCTATCTATCAGGACGTAACGATACTCTTTTTAGTAATTAACGTATATTTTTTTGGAATTAGAGAACGCAGTAATAAATCGAGGATCCTGATCAAGATGGATACAACTAAAGAGATTATTCGCGATCTATGTGTACGTAATCGTACATATGATGATTGATCGGACTTACATGCGAAAAAAATAGGTATTAGGTATTAAATAGGTATTCTTTAGCGAACAATTACACATTGCGAATTGCGGCATTATATTCTTTTGAATACGCCTCTCGGTCGGAATGAAACAGCGCGCGATTTCACTCGCTTCGCACAGCCGTTCCCATCATCCGCCATCTGTCACCTTTCGGGAACACCTGTTTACCGAGAGTTCAGCACCACGTAAGAGGAGCCACGAGAGAGTAAGCGTTTCCTCATTACACCGGCTCAGACATAAAAAAAGAAAGTATATGTGCCACGAGTTACAATTCAGGATCTCAATTTAATTTGCCGTTAAAATATTCGATATATCATTCGTGTGCTCCAGTAATTTAAGTTTACCTGATGACAAGGATATAATTTCAATTCTTAAATATATAATAGCGTTAAAAATCACATCAAATTTCAATAGAAATATATGATAGAAAGCGTTAATTCTATTCAGAAAATATTATTTGTACTGAGGCTTTTGTCAGGCCTACGAAATCGCGTGTTTGATAATTTGTCGATGGAGCAAAAAAGTATGTAGGTCCCGGCGGTCATACATCTAGGATATAGTCAACCATCTCGCTACATCCTTTGCGCTCTTTGATAATTATGTTGGCCTATTTCGCATCTAGTTACAGTTACTCACAATCAGTGGTATTACGTGGCAACGCTAATTTCCGTGGATACGCGATACCGAATCTGGAATGCGCAGTGCGTGGAGTTATAACGATCGTTTTGCCTCCCGCGGGGAAGTTACTAATTGCATGCGTAAGAGATGTGATTTGCGTCATGAGTCGTGCATGATGCCGCATGATTACTGCTCGGATGCATTATCGGGTGCAATTTCGAGACTTTCAATTTGCTTTCTTTTACAAGAGGTTCATTTTTCGAAGTCAGAATATTAATTAAATTAAAAGTGTTGCGCGTTTCTTAATGAATTATTATTTCACGCACAACGGAGAATATGGCGTAATAACTTCTTATTCAATCTCGAGATAATAACTTCTTATTCAATCTCGAAATTTATGCGTTGTTTAATCGATTTGTGTAGCAGAACGCGGAGATTAACCGAACTGAGCTTCTTTCTTTGAGCGCAATTTCAAAGGCACCTCCGCTTAGAATCGTATAACTTAATTGCACGCGAGCGATTCGTTGCCGCACAATGCGCCAAGTTGCACCAAGAGTCAAAGTGACTTTCAACTGTATCTGACGATTCTTGTAATTAATCTTGTAATGACTCTGCCCTTCGCCACAAGAAGTAGTACCTTAATTAAGTTTCCTCAACAGAAAAACGATCGCGAAGATAATTTTCTTGCTATCATTAATTGCAACTGCAAAGTTAATTTATTGTATTCGTATTATTAAATATGTTAAAAATAAATTTAAAAGTTTTTATAAATTTTTATATATGTGCATATTATGTATTTTAATGTAAATATTATATAAATATGTATAAATTATGTATACATGCATATGAAAATGCATACCTCATTTACAAATAAGAAAAAGAGAGCTTGGATTAATTCAGATACGAATGGTTCTCAACGTAGCATTTGCTCGCAAAAGAGGCCTTGTCATTATCATGGATGTTAATCGAAGCATTCATCTGATCGATTAATGGTGCCGATGCAAGAGGTATATCCGGCCTGGTACACCTGCCCGTTTCAAACCGATTGAAACCGCGCGCTATCGATAGAATCAAAATCGGGGGGAGCGGGGGGGATTCGCGGTCGCGGTCGATTAACTTACGTAATCACGCAAACACAGGAAGCGGTGGCCAATTAGATGCTGTCATTATTCCTGCTCGCGTTTCGCGGCGGCGCCATTCGCCGAGGTCGTTTCGATATTACCTTTTTGCGCGGCGCGCAGATTTCGAGATCGCGTGTAATTACGAATGAGGCGGTTTGAATCTACGTCGTTTATCGGACGTGGCAGAGACGCGCGGTTTTTTTTTTTTGTTACCTAATTACCGCAGTGTGCAGCCGCGGTCAACGTACTCGATCGTATTGCGGAGTCACGAACGGCGTTACGGGCAAGCGCGCATAGTCCGATAAGTCTCGTCGCACAGGCACGCGAGAATTTCTACACTTTGCCATAGGATCGTGTTAATTGCCGCTTGTTGCACTCTCGCCATTGTTACAAGATTTGCGCATGCTTTGTTGCTGGTTTGTCCTTGCAAGTTGCAACTCATATTTCACCCTGTGGAGTCCGAGCTATGTAACACTATTGATACTAAAAAGTATCAATTTTTCCTCCCAATATTGACCTCGATATTTTTGCTAGTAATATAAAAGTAATGAAGAAAAAGAAAAACGCAAAAAATGGAATTCAAGAGTAGGTATCTGTGTTTCATTTATTTTCTACTTCTTCCAACTTCTCGAGGATAACCGAAACATAAAACTGGAGCGAACGGATTTTGCCTGGTACGATCGAACATTGATCGAACACACCGCTTCGCTCTGGTCTCTGCGCATCATTCACGAATAATAGGTAATTTATCACCGCGTGTATTTGCGCCACAAGAATGATACCAGCTCGGGCAGGTCGGTGCTCGCGATCGAACGGAACGATTCGCCCCATCACGGTAGTTTTATTATCCTTTTATGCTACCGTTCGCCACGCGAGAGAATTACGACGATGAGAAGTGCAACCGAGTAAAAATGGGTCGAAGGGCACGACAGCACGAGCTGACACCTTATCATCTTTGTGACATTTATTGAATTACAAAGCTTCTCACTGCCAATCGTTATTGCCTTTTTATTACGGTTTCCGCGAGAGGCAAACCATCGAGAAATTCTAATTGAAAAAAAGAAATTTAAGTGAAATATATTAGTTAAATAAATAGTAATGTGTATATAAACAAGTATATTTAATGAATGCTGTATTTGTTATCTCTATAAAAAAGAAAAAATTCTATAAAATAAAAATATACACATCATAGAAATATTTTATCATTTAATTTTGAGTTGTTTTCTTTTTGCTAACTTTAGAACTAAAAACCATGCAGGCATGGTTTTACAATTGATTTGAAATTTGTAATACTTTGCTATGGATATTTTAGATTAGTTAGGAATTAGTGCACAAATTTTTCAGCTATTTATTCGTGCAATTTTTTCCTTCCTTGAAGGAAGTATTATTCAACTCAAAAAGAAGCCACGAATGTTCCATACGACAAAGCAAGCGTCACATCACGTTCCAAGATAACCAACAGCTTAATTAGCTTCTTACTAGATTCATAAAGGCGCGACGATACATCTGAAACTAAACATACATGATTTTAAATAAAACATACATAACTGCTGTATAAACACTTTGCTCCAAAATTGCCAAAATTATCTAGACTATCTTCTATGTAATTATCTTTTAATCGGTTATTTTAATTTTGTTTACCAAGCTATACATCCTTTATCATTTTATAGTAATAATAATCTTACTATATTGTAATGTAATCAGATCAGATTCATTATATTGTATTTATTTCTTCATATTCAAAAATATTTGCAGAAGATTTGTTATACTGAATTGTTAAAATCTAAATAAAAAAGATACGAAAAGAATACAAAATATATTTGAAAAGTAAGATTCATTTTTGAAAATTGAAGTAATCGAATTTTTGACAAAAGTTTTCATAATATTAATATTCTCTATGTAGAAGTATTTCTTCCTTATACAGAAAGTTAAGATCAATTGTTTTTTAAATAACCTATTGAAATATTAAAAAAGAACATAGAGAGATTAAGATGTTTATGAATCTCTGCTTTAATCTGTTACGCGTATTCGTTGCTATGCAACATCGCATTCTCTTATGCGTATTAAGTCGCGCCAGGCACGTTCACAATGATGATTCATGTTGCGAATTGCCAATCAGCTGCATCCTGCGACCTCGTTCTCTCTCTCTCTC